TTGAATATACATAAATTATTCAAAAAACTTACATGGTATCAGAGCTTGGGTCGAAACTGTAACAACCATTGTGTATCTCTATTTTGAATCTCAGAATCGATTGAGTTCTCTGGTTCGTGTCTAGTTCGAGAAGACTCAGCTAATTCTGCCTCTTCCCTTCGTTTGGTTCGAAGTTAGTTGCGTCATAATTGACCCATTGAGTTTTCTATTGCATTGACTTTGCACAACCCATATGGTCCAAAATCGATTTTAGCTAAGATCGAAGGTTTTTGGTTCGTGGACACTGAACTCATGGTCTCTCTTTGGTTCAGTTCTCTGGCTTAGTTCACCCTCTATTTCGCTTAGCTTGGGCGACTTCCTGGGTTTTCATCGTGATTCTCCACTCTAGTTCGACTTTGTCTGTTGGAGTTGTGATATCAGTTCTTCGACTTCGTCTCCGTCAGTTGCAGGAATTGCAACATCAGTCGCACTTGTCAGCGTCGCGACCCATTGCATCGCGACATCTCTCTCTTGTTCTGAGTTGCGAGTGTTCCTCTTTGACTGATCGCAGTTCTCTCTTATTCTTGTTTGGACCAATATTATAATTTGATCCATCAATTTTCTATTTATTACACTTTGCCCAATTGGTTCTCTAGTTTTGGTTCATTATGATGCTGGATACCCATCAGCTTCAGCCTTTTGCAAAGTCCAAGAAAGGGCCACTGGCTTTAGATGAGTGTGCCTTCTGCCATCAGAGGGGCCATTGGAAGTACCACTGTCGCAAGAAGGGACGTCTGCCTGCCTCGTCTTTTCAACAGTCTTAGAACCAATTTTGGGCTCCTCCTGCAGCTTATATTGCATCTGCTCCGGCTCCTGATCCTGACTTGGCTTCCTTGAGTGCTCAAATTAGTCAGCTTCAACATATACTATCTACTTCCCAACCATCGCTACCTGCCTTTATTGTTTTCTCTTCATTCAGGTTTATTTGGGTCTTCTTTAGGTATCTCTTCGTATGTTTGGATTTTTGACTCTAGTGCCTTTCATCATATGACTCCATATCTCTCCTTACTTCAAAATTGTACTCTCCATCTCTTTCCTATTATTGTTAATGCTGCTTATAGGTCTGATATGTCTGTTATATCTAGATCCAGTTTGGTGTAGCTGTTAAAACAGATTATAGATTATAGCTTAACAGATTATAGATTATGACTTTAATCAGAAGCTGTTACTCCATTTGGTATAACTGTTAGATTATAGATTTAAATTGTTGAATAGTATTTGTTAAATAAGCTGTGAAATAACTTTTTCAATTAACTTTTATTTTTTATTATTCACTATTTGTCTACATTTCTTATAAAAAATAATAATAATATTTTATAGTCCATTTGTGTCTTTTTCTATTTTTTTTTTTTTTTAAAAAAAAAAAAATCTAAGAGTATAATCGTGAATTAATATGTACACAGCAGAAGTTGATAATCAGAAGCAAGGAATGAGCAGCTTCTCGAAATCAGCTTTTTTGACTTAAAATAAGTTGTTAGAATCAGAAGCTGTTTGAAATAAGTTTAACTAAACAATCCAAAATAACTTTTTAAAAGCCAGAAGCCATAAGTTAGCTCTATAAAGCCCCACCAAACACCCCCCCTATTGGGTCTATTTTACCGTCTACTATGTCTGCTGTTTCTATTCCATCTGTTTTTTATGTTCCTCAATTATTTGTCAATTTATTATCTATCAGTCAGCTTGATGCCTCCGGTTTTGATGTTATCTTTTCTTTTTCAATTTGTTCTGTGCAGGATCGAATATCCAAGAAGCAGATTGAGGCTGGTCGTAGAGTTGGAGACCTCTATGTGGTGGAGAGCCTACATCTACCTATGACTACCTTTCCGATTGCTTTTTCCTCTTTTTAGTTAGATTCTTTGTCATGTTCTTTCTATTTGTGACATTTCAGATTAGGGCATTTGTCTGCTGTCCGCTTACGGCCTTTAACTCAGTTAGGTATATTGAGTAAAATTTCTCCTAATCAACTTACCGAGTGTCAGGGGCGTAAACTTGCCAAAATAACAGCCTTAATTTTCCACAAAAGTACCTCTATATCTGATACATTATTTTCTTTAGTTCATACTAATGCCTGGGGTCCCTCTCTTGTTCTCACTAAAGGGGATTCTGCATACTATGTTTCATTTGTTGATGATTGAACCTGTTACACTTGGGTTTATCTTATGACTCATAAATCTGACTTCTACCAGATATACTGCACTTTTCAGTCTATGGTCACTACATAGTTTGGGTCTACTATTAAATTGTTGCGGTTTGACTTGGGCGGTGAATACTTTAAAATTGAGCTTTGTGAATATTTGGCCAATTTAGATACCATTCACCAAACTTCCTATACTGATACACCTGTAAAATGGTCAAGCTGAGCGTAAATATTGTTATCTCCTTAAGACAGCTATGTCTCTCATTTTCTCTGTCTCCATTCCGGTTCTGTTTGGAGTGAGGCAGTTCTTACTGCTGCTTTTCTTCTTAACCATATGCCTACCCCCTTTTTTTCTGGACGGTCTCCTTATGAGGCTCTGTTTTCTCAACTTCCAAATTAATCCCTCCTTCATGTGTTTGGGTCTGCTTATTTTGTCCTTTTACCCTGTAAAGATAGGACCAAACTTAATGCCCGGTTTGTCCTATGTGTCTTTTTGAGTTACAGTCTCACTTAGAAAGGTTATTGCTATTATGACCTTGTTTCCCGTCGCCTTTATGTCTCCCGCCATGTTGCCTTTCTCGAACATCTATCTTACTTTTAGCTTTTATCTCTCACAACCTCAATTTCCAAAGCAGATTTGGTCTATATTGATCCATTTTCTCTTCTCTTTCTCCTTCTCCTCCTCTAGTGTCAGTATATTCTCGTCGCAAGGCTCTCTCCACTAGTTGTCTCTGCCCCTCCTACTGAGTCCCCCTCCACTGACCCCTATGAGTCTGTTCCCTCTTTCCCGCCTGCTTCTACTTCTGACAACTCTGATCTTGTTAACCGTAAGTATCCCCTTCGCATCCGTAAACAGGTAGTCAAACTTAGTTTTGCTAAAACATATTTTTCTCATTCATACTGTACGTTTTTGTCTGCTATTCAATCTTTTTCAGAACCTTAGTCTTACAAGGAGGCCTGTCAGGATCCTCATTGGATTCAAGTTATAGTAGGGATGGCAACAGGTCGGGGTGGGGCCAGGGATTACACTCCCCGTTCCCGATCCCTGACGGGGAACCTATCACAGATCGTTTTCCCGACCCCCTCAAAAAACAACATCAAAAACAACAACAAAAAAAAAAAAAAAAAATCAGCTCCAGATTTGATCAGATCCAAGTAGACTGTTTCTTGATTTCTAGTTGCAAATCTAACAACACAATCAGAAAGTTTTACAAAAATATAAGAATTCATCAACAACAACAGCATCATCACCAAATCATATCTGTTCATCATCATCAAGAACACACCTATACACCAGATTTAACATATATATTCAAAAAATCTAACAGATCTGAGCTCAAATGTAAAAAATAAAAAATCTAACACATTCAATAAATCATCATTTTCTTCATCTTCATCAACAACAGATCTGAGCTCATCTACATATTCATCAACAACAGATCTGCATCGTCGACCGCCGTGACCAAATCTCTGTGTGTGTGTGTGTGTGTGTGTGTGTGTGAGAGAGAGAGAGAGAGAGAGAGAGAGAGAGAGTAAGTAGTGGTGGTGCGACTTAACATCGTTGGAGCTTCGTTAGCGTTGACGATGGAAGAAAAACAAAGAGAGAGAGTTCAGCGGTGAGAGTTAGTGGTACTGGTGTTTTCGGTTTAGATAACCTTATTGCCGTTCGTTTGGACCGTTGACGGCGCTGTGTTGGGAAAAGAGCTCTCAGGGCGAAGGAGGAGGGACTCTAGATTTGGTGATGATGGAGGCAAATTCGTTGCTGATGAAGCGCAAGTGTGGCAATAGAGGAGACCGCGAGATGAAGAGAACGAGAGAGGAGAGAAGAGAGAGGATGAGGAGCAGCCGCCGACGCCGTGAGCACCTGCAGGAGAGAGAGAGATGGAGAAAGACTGAGAGAAGAGAAGTGAGTGTGAGTGGGAGAGAGGCTGAAAATAAGACACAGAATAACCCTAAACATATATATATATATATATAGGGAATATGAGGGGATTATTCGAGGCGGGGGGGACCTACCCCCGCCCGCGGCCCGAAAATCGCCGGGGATTCAATTTTCAATACCATCCCCGGCTCTATGGGGGATAATTTTCGAGGAAAACCCGTTCTAATCGGGGTCGGAGGGTCGGGTTCAAATTGCCATCCCTAAGCTATAGAGGATGAGTTGTTTGCTTTGTAGAAAACTAGTACTTGGGAGTTGATTCTTTTGCCTGCTGGTAAGAATCTAATTGGTTGCAAATGAGTGTACAAAGTCAAGACTCATTCTGATGTTTCTTTTGAGCGCTACAAGGCTCGCTTAGTTGCCAAGAGTTTTTCCCAGGCGTATGGTATTGATTATGAGGAGACCTTTATCCTTGTTGCCAAGATGACTGCTGTCCGTACTTTGATATCTGTCGTTGCTGTTTGTCATAGGCCTCTTTATCAAATGAATGTTAACAATGCTTTTTTTAATGGTTATCGCACTAAGGCAGTGTACATGCATCCTCCCCTAAGTTACCTAGATTGCGAATCGTTGTGGCACATGAAATGAGAACGGGAACGTAGTACACTATGTCGTGCGGAATGTGGTACGGTGGGGGTAGGCTTCTTAAGATCAATTAGTCGGAACGAAATATGTTTGTTCAGAACGTGAAACATTATTTTGGATCGTTTAGTAATATTTATAGAAATGTATGATTGTGTACATGTAAGACTTTATATATATATATATATATTTTTTTTTAATCAAATGAGATTTTTTTCATCACAATGGAATTATAAAAATTAAATTACTTGAACTAATTTCTATGCTTGCAAAAAGTCTATACCAAAAACATTAATAACAAAATGATCCAAAGTTTATAAGTATTGCAATAAAAAATAACTAACACAAAATAAAAAGTTCATCATAAAAGGTAATTATTCCTGACTCTTAAATTGAAAAAGAAGAAAAACAAAAAAAGGAAAAGTTATACCATCTTTTTCCCTTTATCCTTTGTGGATGATAATGCTCCATCTTGTCTAATAAAACTAGAAATTTGAGACTGTTGAGATCTCATTCAAGGTGCAGGATTAGAAGTTCTAGCTTATGGTGCTAAGCTTTGTCTAGGAAATCTCGAACCAAACACAGGATGTTGCTCTTGGGTCCTTTCATCTAAATGTGAGTGCTTTTGTTGAGTATCATCTTTATCATCCTCTAAAGACTACCACCGTATCTCTTCTAATCGCACTTGGGAATCATCAATCATTGTATCTTCTAAATTGGCGTCCCATTTTTTGAACGGCTCTTCTTTGTAGTTTTCTTGAAATCATGATAATAGCCAAATGTTGGAATGAATAAACACTAGCTTGTTTGCTCGTGATGCATTTAGCCTATTTCATTGCCAAAAATAAATAAATTAATTAAATTAAAAATAATAAAAAAAATAATATGCAAAACAATAAATAAAATAAGATCCAAACTATAGAATAAAAATAAAAACAAAAACAAAAAACCTATTCTGTTTAACGTTGTGAATATGCGAATATGTGCTCCAATTTCTTTTTGCAGATGATGTAGTGATTGGTTGGGATAAAACCTTTCATGCAACTTCTGCTAGCTTTGGTGCTTCTGATCCATATGTTGCCCACCATTCCATTGCATTCATAGTAGAAGCATCAACAAAGGAAGCAACTGTAGAAAAAAGTCATTTTCGCATATGAAAATCCACAAATTGTTTGCGTAACATTCTTGCTTCCTCAGGGTGTGATGCAATCTTTTCAAATGGTTTTATGACACCAGCAACCACTTCTTTATCTTCATTATGTCTCATTCTAATGGTTCCACCAGGGGCAAAAGTACTTACATAGGTAGAATCATAAAATCAAGGTGACAAAGCAAATCCAAGGTAATGCATAGGGACATTCATTTTTTCCCATCTACCAAGCACTATCGCTTCAACTTGTGTATATGCATCACTGTGTTTGTTGTTTTTCAAAACATCTTTGATCTCCCCAAGCATATTATCCATCCCCTCATATATTTCACCCATAAGTGGACCATCTTTATCACAAAACCTTATTAATTTATAAATTGGTTTTGTGATCGCCACTATGTTGCATACCTCATCCCAAAAATAATCACTCCCAATATATCCAGTAATAAGAGCACCCATATCTCTTGTATGTTCATCACCACTTTTCATCAATTTCTTCCAAGAATTTAAAACAACTATTGTTGCCAAGGCCTCTCTTACATCAACGAGTCTTTTCAACGTTATAAAATGTGAAGCAAATCTTGTTTTAGCTACTTTCAAAAGTTCTAGCTTTGAGTGCGATCTAAAAATTGTCAATGCATGTGAATGATTTATGAAATACTTGACAATTTTTTTTCCCCTTATGATATGTATCTGTGAACCAATCAAAAGTTTGGGCCAAATCTTTGAAAATCAAATTCAATGTGTGAACTACACAAGGAGACCAAAAAATATAAGGGTGTACCTTTTCCACTTCTTTTCCAGCTAACTTACAATTTGCGGCATTGTCAGTCACAACTTGGATGACGTTAGAAGGACCCACCTCATCAATTGTTTCCAGTAGCAATTCAGCAATATTGATTACTGATTTCTAAACTCCAGAATAGTCTTTAGCATATAAGAACATGGCACTATGACTATTTACTGCTAAAATATTTATCAGTGGATTCTTCCTCACATTCGACCACCTATTCGAAACAATTGACACTCCATCAGTGTACCACGTGTTTTCACTTCTTCTAGCAAAGTAGTTCTTGCCTTTTCAAAGTATGGAGCTTTGTAGCCCTTTGGTGCGTTATTGATAGCTATCACCATTCGACAAAAGTGAGGATCCTAAGAACATTAAAAGGAATTTCATTCGTACATAATGCTCTCACAATAATGGCATCCACTGCATGTCTATCCATCAAGGTGAATGAATCTTCTAGTGGACCTTTGCTTGTTGGCACGTGGCGATGAGTGGGTATTGAATTTTTAAGTGAAGAAGAAACACCACCTTCTTTCTCGATGTTTTCTACTTTTTTACGGTATCCTTTCCAATTCTGTGTGATTTTTCAACAAAGTAGGGCACCTTTTAACTTTAGCTTTTTTTTTTCAGCAGAAGCACCAAGAAAGTGTGCATGAATACGAGTATGCGTACTCACAAAACTAGCATTACAATTCTTACACTCCCAGCGTTTGGCACCCCTGAGATTTTTTCTGCTTGCAACACCTTTCATAATAACTTCATCCAACAAAGGCTTAGACTTCATATCAACTTGTTTTTCTCTCGACAGTGTGAAATTTCTTGCTTGAGCACCAATATTACAACCATCTTTGTCATTCTGAATTGCATCAATTTCTTCAACATTCTCATCATCACTGGTAATAATATCTTCACACATCATTATGTCCTCCTCGTCTTCAAAATTTTTAGGAGCATCATCTACATGCTTTCTTTTTCCAAAAACCATGGCTCACAAATTATTATTATTATTATTATTATTATTATTATTAGATGGGAATCAACCTTTTCTTCTCATGAAAACAGCTACAGAACCAAATCTAATTTAAAGACAATTTTGTTGTGTGAAAATATTTATTTTCTATTTTTGTGTTATTTCATTCCTATTTTGAGTAAAAACGAACATTTAAAATTGTGTATTTTCAAAATATTGTTATTCATATTTATCTTTCCTATTTTTTTTTGGCCATTGTATTTATCTTTTCTATTATTATGTATAATAGAATATATAATTGTTTAGGAAACCGTATAATATAATTTTATATCTAGTATATATTATAATTGTTTTGGAATAATAAAATATTTTACCCAATTATTTAGGAAACTTTACATTTAATTGGTTCGGAATCTTAAAATATAATTTTATATACAAGATATTTAAGGTAATTGTAAAGAAGACCAAGAGACCTTTTGAATTAACACCTCTCAATTTCTAAAACAGACGTGTGTGACGGACCATGGTTGTAATAGGGCAAATTACATATACACCCCTCGAGGTTTGGTTAAATTACAGATACCCCTGAGGTTTTGGAAATTACATCTCGCCCCCTGAGGTTTGTATTTTCATAACAATTTACAATATTCAGCTTTATGGATATATTGTAGTATATATATTTTGTATATATTAGGGATTCTTCTTTCCTTTTTCAATCCTAGGTTAGATTGTTATATAAACTGAGGTACTCTTGTATTATATACACAATTGAATATACAAAAATTATTCACAAAACTTACAAAACCAAAGAAGACAGAGACCTTTTGAATTAAGACTTCTCAATTTTTAAAAGAGACGTGTGTGACAGACCATGCTTGTTATAAATTATAACTTCCCAAATCTGTGCCTATGTATACAATCACTCCTTTAGTTGGACTCTACAACTTCCCAAATCTGCTTGCAATTATTTGACTATAGACGTGGGAGAGGGGAGAGCAAAAATCTTTTCCAAAATAAATCTGTGCCTATGTATACAATCACTCCTTTAGTTGAACTCTACATCTTCCCAAATCTGTTTCCAATTATTTGACTATAGACATGGAAGTGAGGAGACCAAAAATCTTTTCCAAAATAAATCTGTTCCCAAATCTGCTTCTTTATCTTTTCTATTTTTTTTTTTTCCCTCCAATCGTTCAATCATCTCTGGTATAGGTCTGTTCTAGTTCAAAAATGCCGAACCCTTCATCTTTGACAATTGCGAACTCTAGGGTTTCCATTGGAGACAAAGAAGCACCAACTTGTTTCGATCTGATGGTTTGACGATGATGCGAACGAGATAAATGACGACTGCGATGCATAGGGAAAGCACTATAAGTTTCTATTTCTTTTTTATGCTCTATGTTGATTTTTCATTGGAATGCCCAAATCTGCGATCCAGTTCGCAAACGACCCGCGATTGGGATCGTATGATCCAAATCGCAAATCGCACCTCCTTAGCGATTTTTGGTAACTCTGGTCCTCCCCTCTGGCCTTCACCATTCCTTTGGACATGATTGTTGTCTTTGGCGTGCTCTGTATGGTCTGAAGCAATCTCCTCATGCTTGGTATGATCGCTTTCAGACTGCTGTCACTGAGCTTAGGTTTCTCCTTCTGCCTAGGACTCTGCTTTGTTTCTCCTCCACACCTTTGCTGGTTTTGTTGCCTTATTACTGTATGTGGATGATAGAATTATTACTGGCTTTGATTCTTCTGCTATCTCTGAGGTCAAGTAGCATCTCTTTCGCAACTTCGAAATGAAGGGTTTGGGCCCATTGTGGTACTTTCTTGGTATTGAGGTGGCTTCTTCTTCCAAGGGCTACTTCTATCTCAGGCCAAGTATGCTAATGAAGTTATTCACCGTGCTAGTCTTATTGCCACTAAGATTGTTGATAACCCCATTGAGCTTAATGTAAAACTTAACACTACTGATGGTGTTCCTCTGCTTTATCCTACTTTATATCGAGAACTCGCGGGTTACTTAGTCTATCTGACAGTTACTCGCCCTGATCTTGCCTATGTTGTTCATATGGTTAATCAATCTGTTTCTGCTCCTCGTTCTACACATTGGGCAGCTTTGGTTCAGATTCTTCGCTATCTCCAAGGTACTATATTTTAGGGTTTACTATTGTCCTTCATTTCCTCTTTAGACTGAGTAGCCTATGCTGATTCTAATTAGGCTAGTGATGTGACTGATCGCAAGTCGACGTCTGGTTTTTGTATGTTTCTTAGCGATTCCTTGATTTCTTGAAAAAGCAAGAAACAATCTGTTGTTGCTCGCTCTACTGTCGAAGTTAAGTATCGTGCATGGCTCATGTTACTACTAAGATTGTTTGGCTTCGTTGTTTCTTGTTTGATTTGGGTGTCCTGCAGTCTTCTCCGACCTCTCTCTACTATGACAACCACAGTACTATTCAGATTGCCCACAACACTGTCTTCCATGAGTGGACGAAGCACATTGAGATTAATTATCACTTTGTCCGTCAGCATCTACAGTCTGACTCTATCTCGCTTCCTTTTCTCTCTTCGGCTCTAAACTTGCTGACTTTTTTATTAAGACTGACACCACTACTCGGTTTCAATTTCTTCTTAGCAAACTCTCGGTGTGTTTGAGCGGGGGTGTGAAAATATTCAACTTTATGGATATATGGTAGTATATATATTTTGTATATATTAGCGATTCTTCATTCCTTTTTCAATCCTAGGTTAGATTGATATATAAACTAAGGTACTCTTGTATTATATATACAATTGAATATACATAAATTATTCACAAAACTTACAAAACCATGTTCATGTCTTATGTGGAGCTTATGGATGGAGAGACGTATATGTATCTTTGTGAATCAAAGTTAGGAATCCATAATAAGCTATGAAGATGGGTCTTTTTACATGCTTCTCATTTTTTGTGTGAAGGATCTTTTTGTGAATCCTCTTCTTCGTCTCGTAGATGTTTTGACAGAGCTCAATTTTTCTAGTGAGATCTTATATAACTCCTTTTGTATACCTAGACACCCCTTGTGGTATTTTTTTTAATTTTTTATATACGTTAATACAATACATGTTACTATCAAGAAAAAATATTAGAAACTTGCCTGGATACTTATTCTCTTCCCTTTGGTTGTTAGAAAAACTCAAAAATTAAACAATTCAAGCAATTATTGTATATACCCAAGAAAAGATAGAGAGATGTTTATGAGACAAAGGGAGAGAGACATTTTGAGAGAGGGAGGGAGAGACGGACACCTAGGAATAGGAATATAGTTGGATGAGAAAGAGAGAGAGAGAGTGGTAGACAGGCAGGACTCGTGTTTTAATATTCCTTTTACAAACTTTTTCCTTAATCTAGAAAATAATATCTTGATTAAATTTTGGGAAATTGTTTTACAATATTTTCTGTAAATTTTGGAATAATTTTTACCTAAGTTTTTGGAATTCCAAACTAACTTATTAGTTTCCAAAAAAAGGAAACAAACTGCATACAATTCAGTTGACAATTGTTGCACATGCTTGCAAACAAGTTGCTCAGTTTCTCTCAGAATATAAAACAGGCTAGAGGCATCTTATCTCACTGCAAATCCATTTTTCACAGCTTGAGAAAGGGGCAGAAAGGATTGAAATCTGAGTTTAAATTTTTTAACAACTCAATGAGAAACTAAAATATATTTTATTCATTCAACAGTGTATGGACTACTGATGAGGAGGGAAGAGGTACGGCAGGAAGTTGACCTTTACCTTTTATTTATATGCAAAATGAGCTGAGAAATATTCTCAAAGAGATTGAAGAAGGTTTAAGACTGATTTCCTGTCGGGCATGCTTGGAATAGCTCCCTTGACTTGCACGCATAGAGAGGCTGCTGCAGCTGCAAAAGCACCAAGATTCCGTCATACAAACAGTAGACAAGCATGGACACGTGACATGATACAGACACACCCTTTTAAAAAATGCAAGACACAACACGCAGGAGACACGTGCAATATATATAATTCTTATATAGTTTAATATATATCATATGTAAGAATAAATAATTATAGTGTCATATAGATATATGAATATGTAAGTCAAATATCACAACTTTTTAGTCTAGAAAAGAACAGACGTAAATTTACATTGTTTTTGTTTTATCACTGGATACTAAGTTATTTTTTTCGAACTTGTAATGTCTTTCATGTGTTTCGAAGTGTTGGGAAGTTTCCAATGACACTATACGTTACCATCTTAGAAGTGTCTGTACTTCTTAGCAGACAAAGGAAATAAATAGAAAGAGACTCCAGTGCATACCAGCAAATCTCAAGCATTCCTTCTTTGATTTTCCCTCCACGAGAGCCACAGCAAAAGCAGCAGTAAAAGTATCACCGGCACCGGTTGTATCAAGTACTCTTGGAGCCGATATGATGGGTTGTTTTATTGGTTCTTCTCCTTCTAGGAATAGAGCTGACCCTTTCACCCCAAGTTTCACAAGGACCTGCCTAACACCCTGATTGTAAACACGAAAATTTTAGAACTAACCTAGATGAGTATCATCTACTATTAAGTACCTCTAGTACTTTTTCAAGATATGCTAGTCATATGTAATGGATATCCAAATATCCAACCTTCCAAAAAATAACTGCCAAAATATCTTTATCAACTTTAAAACTAGGGTAAATTACAATTGACCTTCCATGACGATTACAAGCAGCCCCACAGTTTTGGCATCATTACACTGACTCCCTTCTAGTAAGGTTACAAAAATCAGGACTAATACAAATGGTGGGAAGTCGTAAAAATAAATAAGGTAAAATATACATTTCAGTGTAAAAAATATGACAACATTTTTTCACCCATATGACTAATAAATTATTGACAAAAAGGGGGCTAAGTGTTATGTAAATTAAAAACTTAAGCGAGTCCAATGAAATTATGCCAAAATTGTCAAATTTACCCTCACAACTAAATGGTGCAAACTTCTTGTACTTCTAACATCATTACAATGGGAACCACCACAAAGCAGATCTTATAATCAAATTTAGGATTTAATGAAATGCAACGGTTCAAAATGGGACATTTTAAGGGTGCCCAAAATGCTTGTTGCACAAGAATGTACATCTTAGGGAGGAAATACATAAACATTTGGATGATCAAGATTATTTGATGCGTCAAAACTCACCATTTTATGGCATCTTGTCACAGCTTGACTAATCTGTTCAAAAGATTCAGTCGGCATTTGTGTTAAACGGGCAAGTTCAGATTCATTTGGGCTCAAAATGTCAACAAAATTCAGTAGTTCTGGTGGGATTGGTGCATCAACTCCCCCAGCATCCAAAATGACTGGAACACCTGCATTCTTGGCAGCCTGAAGATAAAAGATTGTGCAAGAAATAGTCAAAAGCTGATCAACCTAAGAAATTTAAATAACCTTGATGTCTAGCGCTTTCCTCTTTTACAAAAAAAAAAAAAAATATATATATATATATATATATATTACGGAAAAAAAATTGTTTAGGGTTTTTTTAATTGTTCTCTTTTTCAATGAAACCCTAAACTTATTAATTTGTGGATTTAAGTTTTGATTTATGAAATTAGGGAAAACCATTCGAGTTTTAAGATTTTATCTTTTTTATTTACAACCAGTTATATGTGTATATATATATATATATATATATATATATATGTTTACACTATGAAAAAAAATTGTTATATATATATTTATATTTTATTTTTTTAATTGGGCTAACAACTAACATTTATAAATATTTTTTAACTGGGCCTTTTATCAATTGGGCCAAATAGAACTTTTGAGGCATTTTAAAATGGACTAAGTTAATTAAACAAAATTGGGCCATTTTAAATTTTTGATATAGTACGAGATAATGAATTTGGGAGCCTTTTTTTGGGCCTAATTTTTGGGGCCCTAGGCACAGGCCTCACTGGCCTTAGCCCAGGGCCGGCCCTGAAAATGACAATATTCAGATCATGTTTTGTTGAAATAAAAAGGAAAAATAATAAAAAAGGCATTGAATGTGAAGTATGTCTTGTGTGTGAAAGAGAGACCGAAATACTCATTTAAAAAAAAATTCCCTTTGCAATTAGACATAGATAAAAAGCAAGGGATTTTAAAAGAAGTTTATCCTTCAACAATTACTTGGACAATTTGGTAAAGCTACTTTAATGCTTCGTTTATTGTTTTTTAATTTAAATTTTTTTTTTTTTTGAAGGATGACAACTTTGGTCAGACTATTCCTCTGGGTACATGCAATCCCCCTATCCCACATATACCAAGTAACCATCAGGCACAAGCCTTGGGTGTGGCCCCAGTGGGATCAGGATCAAGGGCCTCATGGGATTTGAACTCCTAACCTACACTTCCTAAGGCTCTTATCATGGCTCAACTTGTCACTTGGCTAACCCCTTGGGGTTTAATGCCTAGTATTTTGGGGGAAAACAAATAATTAAAAACCATGAGACAAGTTTCGATTCCTATATTTTAGCAAGCAATACGACAATCCCAAGAATGCATTTGTACTAAAATTATGTCATTGTCTCATGATCTCAAACATCCACTAAACATGTGGGTTTATACATCAGTTTGAAAAAAGTGTATCAAAATTTTATAATGACATAGTAGAATTATCATAGTTCCAGTATCACTGACTATACAGCTGACACCACAAGATCAAACTAAAATCAAACAGAGGAGAAACGGGCTTTTGTTGTTTCCATGAAGAAATGGTTAATGGTAAGAAAAGGATCGCTGATTGTGATGTAGCGTGGGCGTCCCACTTACTTCGTTTCTCCCCCACCCTTGTGTGTGGTTTGGATTTCCTGTCCACTGTTTCATCAGTGCAATAATTTGAATCATCAATCAAGGATAGGAGCAGGTGTCTTTTTTCTCCCCACAAAGGCACATTTTGCCTACACATCTATTTTAATGAGATATGTTGTAGCAATGTCACTGAGTACAGATCATTGGTCTACAAATAGCTACTGGACTGAAAAACACTGACCTTGAAGTCAAGAAAGACAACCTGGTTGCAAACTTTCAGTATGCAACTTGTCTAGCAGGAGTTGTGTTTGAACATGTATTGCGAATAGAGAACTGTATAGAAGATGCACTTGCCAATCTAGTAAGAACATTGGTGTTGTTAGAAGGCTCAAATAGTTGATGTCCCTATATGTCAACAATGGGTATTGCCACAACTGCTGAAATGCAGCCTTGTAGAAACAAATACAATTTCAGACCTAGCCATCGAAGCTAATGATTGGAGGATGCCTGGAGGATGCCAAATTGCCAATCATAAACTATATTGAACACGGGAAGCTTCCTGACTATCCTCATCACAGCATTGAAATACTCCTCGGCTCATTTACTATGAGGAAATTCTATTATATTGATCATTTGAAGGAGTCATTCTTCACCGACTCCGAGAGCAATTGAAGAGGCCCACTTTGGGATCTGTGAGGCTCCTCGGTTTGAAATAAGTTTTTAACTCATGTGGGCCAAGACCATCATATAGTTTAGACTCATGCGATTAGGAGCAATGGCTTCTTATGTGTAATAGCACTTCAAGAACTTCCCATTGATGGGACCAATCCTTAAATCTTCTTTATCAACTATCTTGTAAGGTCCATTGGTGTAGATTTTCGTCACCACATATGGGTCATCTCATTTTGATAGGAACTTGTTGCCAATTCAGTGGGTAATGATGATGGGTCTTTGAACAACAAACACTAATTCCCCAACTTTAAAAGATCAAGGTCTAACCTTTTTATTAAAAGTTGTAGAGAGAGTCAAGCTCCATAACACTAGTCCTTGTTGAGCTTCACGTCTTTTTTCATCCAACGCTTCCAATTCAGCAAAATGTAATTTCACATTCTCGTCATTACTGAGACCTTGTATGACTATCATTAGTGAAAGGATTTGTTGCTCCAGAGGACGGACAACTAAAACAGCATAGATGAGGGAGCGTGGAGTGACTTCTGTTGAGGTACGACAAGTTGTGTGCTATCCCAAAGAGCTCTCTAATCCTTTCATGCTAGTCTCTCTTGGACTTATAGACTACCTTCTTCAATAGGTTGCCCAAGATTTTGTTGAATGTCTCTGCAAAACCATTGGCCAGTGCATTGTAGATTGGGGAATTACATTGCTTGATCCAAACCTTTCACAGAACTTGTGCGTTAAGTTATTGTAGAAGGGTTTCCCATTATCAATAATGATGTAGCAAGGCACACCATATCGATAGATTGTATTCGACTTACTGAAGTCGGCAATAGTTTCCTTCTTCACTTCCTTGAGTGGGACAACTTCAACCCACTTGGAAAAGTCGGGTACTATTCCATAAGGAGTCACAATGGACATTTTTATTGCATAATCATTTAAAAAAAAAAAAAAAGAGGAAACAAAAACATCAAAAAAGTCCTATGGCTACCTAAGGCTGGAAGAATGTTCTCAAAATTCAAATACAATGATGTTCACCAGGGCTATCCTCTCAATTGGGGAATCCCAATCTACCGCTGTGCCTTCAAAGGTACCAAAAAAAAAATGCAACCCTTGTTAAAATTTTTCTAGAAATTTAAGCAAATTCAGCGGTTAAATAATTGGATCCAAGTATCCAACAATTGCCTCAACCTGCTAGAATTTTGTACTAATTGCTTTGTAGGCTATAAGATTATGAAATATCCAAAGTTCACAACTACTTGGACTTCAATGAAATGGGTGCTGCTTCTGCATTTCCCTAGAATTTCATCCAGCTCCAAAATTTATTTTCCATAAAGCAATGTACCATCAAGCCTAGAGACTTGCCAAAAAAAAATACATAAATAAAGCCTAGGTTTTCTATTCCCTTGAACCTCATACAAGACCTATGAGCTTCATGACTCTAACCATGTCTCAACAATGAGGCAAAGTTTACTGCATCTCAAGCAAACTAAAATGTACCTGCTCCAAGTATAACTCCCACATAAAAAGATAAAAATGATTAGCCCAAGTATAACTCCAATTCTTTGTTATTCTCCCCTTCTTTTAACTGTCTTAATCACGTTTCAATCATCAGCTTGTCTCCTTCAATAACACTAGCTCCTCAATTTCACCTTTGATTATAACTCCAGTAATTCACTTTGCATTTGTTTAGACCTACCCGTTCATGTTGACCTTCACAACTTCCCATAAACTTATTTTATTTGTCAACTCACCTTGAGAAGCAAAAAGAACAACAATCATAAAACTTTTTACTAGACAGACATGAATTTTTTCGCTCTCCTCTCCAAATCCACAATGTAGAGCAATTTATGTTCAAGCTTGAAAAGTTTTGAATATGACTCACTCCACGGAATTACAACACAACGGTGGGTAAACTTGAGGCCGTAGGGATTAGGGTTTAACGCAAGGCACTGGGGAACAATCAATATACCTTTGACATGAATATGAACTCCATTATTTATGAAAGTAGTGTAACGATCTTGTTAATAGATTATATAAACGTCTACAAAAAGTTATCAAACCACAAGCTCAAAGAAAACAGTATTGTCAAAAAAAAAAAAAAGAGTAATCAATTCACATGCTGGAAAGAGGATACAGCAGTTAGAAAGGACCTCATTCCCCAGCTGATCTCCCAACCCTTTCTCTTGCACAAAACTTAACACTAAATCCTCTTCAAATAATAAGATCATCTCATCTTTCAATGTTCCAAATTTATCTTCAAGAATCATGATGACAGAGTTGAATCACAAAATCTACCCACAAAACTCACCACTCATATAGAAGACTAAAGATAAGTCGTGGTCTTTTACAAGATAATTTAACATAGCCAATATAATGACAGCACAAAGACCCCCTTGGAAAAATCATATATCTGGCCCGTCTCACATATTGCTAACTTTCTACGTCTCTTTCCCTAGAAATAATCATTCAAATTAAGATTAACAACCCCTGACTCTGTTCATCTCATTAATAATGGATTTACAAAATATATTTCAAAAGAAATAACAAATTTTATTTCAACACAAACCCATAAGACCTAATATTAGTGCATCTCCAACCCTTGATTTAAACATGTATCAAATTTAAATTTGGATAAAAATCACTCAAAAACCTAGCCACTGCTTGTCTCAAACTTATATCAAATTGCGCTCTACCCAAATCAAGGGAGACTCGAATTTTCACTCAAAATTTTCAAGACTATTTTCTGGCTTTCAAATTTACAACTCCACCATTACTGAAACTTTTACTCAAATCTAAAAGTTTGTCCATTGAAGTGTTTCATATACAATAAAACTTGTACAAAGTGTGTAATTGTAATCCACATAAGGCAACAAAAAAGTCATCAACCCAATATCCCTTTTTTCAAATCAAGCCCACCAATGACTTCATACGCACGTAAGAAAAAATAAAAATCAAAAGCCTAACCTTTGCAACTTGAATGTTGACAAAATCAGGGATTTCCCTCTGAAGCAAGACAATCCCAGCATTCCTCACAACCACCAAGTCCTCATCACACATAGCATCAGGCCAACAAGACATATTAGCACCACCAACAATAATAATAGAGTTTTGCCCATCAGATTGAAGCATCACCACAGCATGACCAGTGGGTGCACCAGACACATTCCTCAACCTATCAAGAACAACCCCACAACCCTCAAGAGCATCAGAAATCAGCTTCCCATGAGCATCTTCACCAATCTGACCCACAAAAAAAGTGGGGTACGAAAGTTTTCCACCACATACAGCCTGATTAGCCCCTTTGCCACCAGCAAGTGTTTGGCCAGTCTTGGCTGAGATTGTCTCTCCCACTCTTGGGAGTCTATCGATCTCCACATAGATGTCTGCATTGGCTGATCCAACGACTACGAGTGGTGGGGTTGTGGGATTGTGGGTTTGGGAGGCTTTGATTGTGAAAGAGGGCATTGGGTTGAGTCTTTTTGTTGATGGGTTGTTGTTGATCAATCGAAGGGGGTTGGGTTTAAGGTTTTTGGCGGGATGTGTTGATGGGTTGTTGTGGGTTTTTGGGTGCCAATGATTTGACGGTGAAAGTGCTGCTATGCCTCTCATCTCTCTCTCTCTCTCTCTCTATATATTCTGAAACTTCCCTCTCTGTTCTCCCTAGGATCGTGGCTTTGTTGAGTTCTTGCTTGGGTACGAGGAGAGAGCTTCGGGAGAGGCTGGGTAGACTAGAGCGTATTATTATTCGTTCAGTAATTTATATCTCTAAATATATCCCTAAAAAATTATATTAATTGAATATATCGGAATATATTTTTATTAATAATTTATTTTTAAAATTATATAGTTGATAAAAATATATTTTGATTAAAAGATTATCGATATTTGATTAATGTGATTTTTTTTATAGATATGAAGTATTCGATGAGATTTACATTGAGATTATCGAAATGAGATTTGTTATAGGTCGTATAGACCCAACAATATGTTTCAATTCACACAGTGAAATAAAGAGAATTCTTTCATTTTTGTTTATTTTTTATTTTTTTAGAAAATTAGTGAAACACTATGGTGGTGGGTGTGCATATATGTATTTTATAACTAAAACAATGGTATAATTTTAATTTTTTGAGTTATAATTAAGAAGAGGAAAAAATATCACAACTAAATATAACATAAAGTCTAATTAAATAACTCATGAGTTATAACTAAAAATAAAAATAAAAATACTCATAACTAAAGAAAAAAATAACATAATTAAGAATATATATGATACATCATTTTTAAAGGAGTGTCTATTAGAATTTTCCGAAAAGTTATAATCAAGTTATATTTAAAAAAAAGAAGAAGAGTAAATAACATACACAATAGAAAAAAATAATAATACTATAAATCTACCCTTATCAACTCAGAATTTATCTAGAAAAAAATAAATTAATGGCTCAGATTCATTTCATATGTAAACCTCACACTTCATCAATTCAATCTCCACCATACAAGCATATTTAGGATGAATTCAGAGTCCATAAGAATAAGTTCTTAGCATTTTTTATAGGAGAAATAATCTCGTTTGGTTCCCTTTTGGAATTGTAATTATAATAAAAAAAATTCAAAATTCTTTTCAAAATTCATAATCAAATACTCAATTCAAAACTATTTCAAAACTCATAACCAGACACACAACTCAAAAATCAATTCAAATTTTTTTTAAAAGTCATAACCAAACACACAACTTAAAACTCTTTTCAAAACTCTATTTAAAAAAAATCAAAAAAATATTTTTCTTTTGTTTTTCAAAATTATTTTTAGAATTAAGATTTTAGTGTAGAGTTGTGTTTTGAATTATGAGTTTTGAGAAGATAAATTTTGTTTGGTTATGGGTTTTGAAAAAAAAATTGAGTTGAAATTTTTTAATGTATATTGTATTTTATACAATTGTGGGTTGTATTTTTTAAAAATATTTGAGTTGCATTTTTTAAATATTTAAAGAGATTAATTTTTATTTTAAATATTTTATTTTATAAATATTTTAAATTTTTTTTTTAATTTATTTTTTAAATTAAAAAAATTAGATCATCATATATATGTAAAACATAGGGGATTTTTTTTTAAGGTCCCTGGTATTAAGATTTTATAGTATAAAGGGTACTAAATATTTTCATAATGTCTAAGGTCCCTCAAGATTGATCCAGAAAAAATTCAAATCAAAATTTCTCTAGACTTCAGAATTTCTCTCCAAAGAAATTCTGGATTCTCTGTATTTTAACTAAATTTCTCTGGATGTTCTCTGAACTTCTGAATTTCTCTGGATTCTCTATGTTCTCTGCACTTCAGATCCAGAGAAATTCAGTGAACACACCGTCTTGATTTTTCGCGACTAAAAAACTTTTTAGTCGCTAATTATTTTTTGCGACCCTCAATTGGCAACTAAAGTGGCGACCAAAAAAATTAGTCACGGATAACTTTTGCTGACTAAAAATGGACTTTTACCGACTAAATTTTTAGTCGGCAAAAGTGCGAATTCCTGTAGTGAATATCTATAAGAAGATTTATGATTTTTGCATAAATGTAACCGATTTTTTGAGGATTCTGTTATTTGATGTTTGTACTTTGTAGTACTTAATAGGGTTAATTACACTAATAGTCCTTATAGTTTGGGACTTGTGTCACTTTGGCCCTTGACTTTTCAATTGTAACGCATTTGACCATGAATTTTGAATTTTGTTCCAAAAAAGGACAATTGAAAATATCATTAGATTTTTCAAGGGTAAAATCGTCAATTTGATAAAATATAAACTAATTTGACAAAAATAAATGTCAAAAAAAATATTTTTAATTTTTTTGAAATTATTTTTATCCACCAATAATAAAATTATGTAAAATTAATAAAAATTACATAATTAATTTTTTTAAATTAATTTTACATGATCATCATCCAAATACATAATAAAAATTAATTTGGTAAAAAAAAATAAATGTCTAAAAAATTTATCAATTTTACATAATTTTATTTTTAGTAAGTAGAAATAATTTTTTAAAATTCAAAAATATTTGTTTGACATTTTTTTTTTGTCAAATTAGTTTATATTTTATCAAATTGACGATTTTACCCTTGAAAAATCTAATGATATTTTCAATTGTCCTTTTTTGGAACAAAATTCAAAATTCATGGTCAAATGCGTTACAATTGAAAAGTCAAGGGCCAAAGTGACACAAGTCCCAAACTATAAGGACTATTAGTGTAATTAACCCTATTAAGTACTACAAAGTACAAACATCAAATAACAGAATCCTCAAAAAATCGGTTACATTTATGCAAAAATCATAAATCTTCTTATAGATATTCACTACAGGAATTCGCACTTTTGCCGACTAAAAATTTAGTCGGTAAAAGTCCATTTTTAGTCAGCAAAAGTCATCCGTGACTAATTTTTTTGGTCGCCACTTTGGTCGCCAATTGAGGGTCGCGTAAAGTGATTAGCGACTAAAAAGTTTTTTAGTCGCGAAAAAGTTATATTTGCCGACTAAATTTTTGGTCGCTAAATATATAATTACTGAGATTAATCCATTTAGTAGCTAAAACACTTTAGTCGCGAAAATTCATATTTTCCCGACCAAACATGTTAGTCGCCAATTCGCACATTCAACGACCAAATAATTTGGTCGGCAATTGTGGCCCATTTCCACGACCAACAAATTTGGTCGCCAATTGTCACATTCCACGACCAAAAAGTTTGGTCAGCAATACATTTCGCAACCAAAATGTTTGGTCGGCAATACATTCCACGACCAAAAAGTTATATTTGCCGACTAAAAATTTGGTCGGCAAAAGTTATCTGCGACCAATTTTTTTTGTCGCCACTTTGGTCACCAATTAAGGGTCGGCAAAAGTAATTAGCGACCAAAACTTTTATTAGTCGGGAAAAAATTGGATTTGCCGACTAAATTTTTGGTCGCTAAATATATAATTACTGCGACTAATCCATTTAGTCGCTAAAACACTTTAGTCGCGAAAAGTGACATATTCCCGACCAAACATGTTAGTCGCCAATTGTCACATTCCATGGCCAAACATGTTAGTCGTTAATTATTACATTCCACGACCAAACATGTTAGTTGCCAAAAGTCACAATCCACGACCAATAGATTAGTCGCCAAAAGTCACATTCCATGACCAAACATGTTAGTCGCCAAAAGTAATGCTTGGTCGACTAAAAGTTTAGTTGGCAATAGACCTATTCGCGACCAAACTCTTTGGTTGCCAAAATTAACAATTTTACTGACTAATTATTTAGTCGCCAAATGTACCCTTTTACCTACCAACATTTTGGCCGGCAAAACCACAATTTGGTCGCCAACATCTAATAAAATAAACCTGTAATTGAAGACAAATATTCCATCAAATCTATTCAATATAATCTATAATTAAAAAGAATCATTCATACCAACAAAGTATTTGAATCATGAACATTCAATGAAATACAAAAATTATCCAATCCTTAACTTGTTTAATAAAAGTCGGCAATTATTATAAATTTTCATCCACAAATAATTTCAAAGTACATATTTCTCTAATTAAAATTCTAAATCACATCCATCTAGCATAAAAATTTAAAACATAACAAGTATTTGTTATTATGTTTTAAATTTTTATCCATGCGCATCTATCCGAAAATATAATTACTAGTCTACCCAAATATTTTTTATACACATCTATCTAAAAATATATAATCCTTGAACAAATGTAACAAGTGCCAACTAGTCCTGTACAATTCAACTTGTTATACGAGTTCATCCATCTGTACAGAAGAAAAAGATAAAAAATGTCAGGTAATGTTTCTATGAAAATATTTGCACATCAAATGATTGTAAAATTGGACAAAAAAATAAAAAGTTCCATGGAAAGTAAAGGTAACATGAACAAGAAAGTAAAGGTAGAAATTTCATTTTTAGTTTGGTGTTACACCAGAACAAGGCAAAAAATGTCCAAGCAGACTTTAGTTAATAATAAATTAATAATCATGGCCACCCTGTCCTGTTTTAGGAAGTGACCATAATTAGGGTTTGTAATCTATTACTCTAGTATCACCTACAAGAATATAGTTGTTGCAGGGGAGGGGTGACACTAACATGGCATATGAGAGGGATTTGTGCAGTTGGGGGTTTGAATCTTATGTCTATCAAAAAAATTAACAAATATTTTTTCAAACATATGAACAAAGCAGACATATATTAAAAAAATTGTTCTTTTAAAGTAAATAAAGGATCATAGCAACTTTGAATTTAGACCGGCAGAACATGTAATAGATCATTAAGAAGGTATCTGACAGTGGACCATCAATTATCCCGAAGTATAAGTACAAACCAAAAAAATAGCTTCAAGCCTTATCCTATGCGAACACTGATTTTAGAACCCATGTATTGAGGTTGTTACTAGCATTCCTATTAGTAATTTAGGTTTAAGGACATACCTCCACTACAGAAGTTCGTTTTGCCTCCAAAGTTAAGCAATGAACAACAGCATTCCATTTTCTGGAAAAGTTATCAGGGACACAAAGTCGCCTATAATACTACTGCATCTGATGGAGAGGAGCTGAGAAAACATGAATGCCATTAGTTTGACAATCCAAAAAACAAAAAAACAAGCATAGAATTACTTGAAACATAAATAATAAGTTAAAAAAACATTAATGCTGCTGCTGCTGCTCACATTAAGGACACAATAAATTAATATATGTGAAGAGACTTTTAATGTAGCATTCCATGGGATGAGTGCAACATCCTTCACAAATATATATATATATATATATATGTGTGTGTGTGTGTGCGCTGCAATGCTGCTCAATGTGTATTGTTATAGAGAGAGAGAGACAAATCATTTTGAACCATCAAAGAGGTGATCTGAGTTAAAATGAATAGAAAAATAGAGAGGGAAGAAGATTGAAGAGCAAAGACCTACCCATAAAAAGCAATCAGTGATTCACTGAAGATTTCAAGAAGATTGGGACTGATATCCTATAACCCAATTCTATGCTGACATTGACCCCAAGGTTGATAAGGAGCCAACCTCAACAAGCAAAACCAGAGAAATAATACAAATATGGGCATAAATCACCAAGAAATGTAGAAAAAATATATATATAAAAGGAAACAGGCAACGAAAAAATCATTAATACTCATGAGAAATTCATTAAGGCCAGTTAGACAACAATGTCAGCTCCACTAATGCACTATCAGCAAATACCTGAATTAACCCAAACACATTTGAACAGTTCCTCACTTGGGTGGAGTTTAGCGTTTTTGCTTTTTGGCTTATTTAGTAAAAAAAAAAAAAAAGCTTTTTAAGAAATCTTTAATTATTTGGGGTGTTCTCAAGCTCTGCAATAGAGTGATTTATGATTTTTTATATTCATTATGGCCATTATATAATTATTAAAATAATTAGTACAACCACATGAAGAAGCAACCAATAATTGCATTGAACATGTAAATTAACTAGTACAAATTAACTACTGCAGATAGCATGGATAACAGAGGCTATCTCAACAGTATCCTAAACAACGTATGCAAGCGGAACACAAATAGATGGAGGTTAGTTTACACTATGAGAAAGCAATCTGATTTCAAGGTGATGTATAAAGTGGTGGATATCCTTGGAAAGGCAAAGAGATAATACCAATATCCACAAAAATCAACCAAAACAATCACCAGATTTATTAGCATTTATCAATAAACCTATTTAACATATTTCAGTTTTAACTCCATCTATGTACAGTGCATGTGGTGGATATTTTGAAGGGCAATCTTGACTCCAAAAGGTAAGCATGGAATTAAGAAACTTAATGTAATAATAGAACATGCCAGAGAAACTTATGGACCTGTGGTAAAGTAACTCAAACATGGACCTGTGGTAATAGGCATTGAGAAATTTAACATGATAATAGGCATTGAGCAATTTAACCAAACAATTGGTGGCCATGTCCTCAAACATGGACCCGTGGTAGAGTAACTCAAAGATGCAACATAAATAAAAATCGTAGGATAGTTTGACATGATAATAGGTATTGAGAAATTTAACCAAACAAATGGTGGCCATGTCCTCAAACATGGACCTGTGATAAAGTAACTCAAAGATGCAACATAAATTAAAATCTTTCACCTCAAAATATGCACTATTCATGCATAATATATGATTTGAAATAAGCTCATAAACTAAAATCATGTAATGCATCAGCTAAATCATAGAATTAATTATAATACTTGTGTACAACTGTTACTACATAAAGAAGAAAATTACCAATTGTATCACATTCATGCACTAAGCAATTGAAATTTAAAGATCAAAACAATAACAATCATTGTTTTTATCTACAGTTCTCCATAACTGTACAAACCTGTTAGCCATGTCAGATCAAAACAATATCAGATCTTTTTTTTTTTTTTTTTTTTTTTTTTTTTTTGAGAAAGTTATAAAGCAGTTGCAAAAGACATTTCAGATCTAAATATCACTCCATTTTTTTTTTATGACCCTTGATTTTCATTTATGGGGGAAAAAGGGGTAGTAATTTTGAATTGGAATCAAATGCAACAATACTGCAAATATAGGAACCAGTACTTTCAGCAGAGCATTGCAAATCATTACAAATTTTAAAGCAAGTTTAAGTTGGAGTATTGAACATTAGTTTCATGGATTCATTCACAATCAACACACAATTAGTCAGCACACAAACAAATGACATTCAAAGCCCACCTCCTCCGGGTGAAGATAATGACTGGTCAGCTTGAAAGATGTTTAGGACTCATCTATCTGGTCCTGCACAAAGACCACAGAAAATTAAAGTAAAATCTTGAACATGATGACATTGTGCCCTGTCACTGGAATCAAATGGTGGGTGATTCCTGTTTCCTAATTAATGATAAGTTACTTCATTTTCTATTGCTTCTTGTTCTCTTTCAATTGAATTCTTCTTTTCGCGGATGTATACTCCTTGACAACTGACGATGCTGCTTCTCTTGTTGGATCATCTGAAAATAAGCATCAGTATTGCTATGAGTGTACTCAATTAGAGGCTTTAATGCCTTCATTGAAAATTGGTACGTATGTTATGGAGATTTTCATATTTCGACACTTCTGTTTGTTGTCCTTATATTTTTCAGTTACTGTTTTCCTTTGGTGACTCAGATTTTTTTTTTATACTGTAAGAATATTATTAGTTGATGTACTGTACTAATGAGTATGATGACAATTTGCTACTTTTGAATTTTTAAATGCTTTACCTCTAATGTTTTTTTGGTGCTTCCTGTGTACTGTTATTTTCATATAAAGTGAAAGGCATGAGTTTGTTATACTATTTAACTCATAATTAGATAAAAGTTCAATTGTTAATTATACTTTTCTTTTGTACATCATTGTGCTTTAACCACTGCTCATCTTCACTCATTTGCAGTGTTCATTTAGTACTGGGTCTGCGTATAAGGCTATAACTATAAGCTCACTATTGATGTGTCTAATACCATATGATACGATATTGAATACCGCTTCATTAAATAAAATAAAAATATAGTCCTCCCAACCACTAGCACCAGCATAAGGGAGAGAGAGAGCTTACTTGTACTCAGTTAAGTGAAGAAAAATTAGCTTATAGAAATGTATGTGTGCTACATCACATCTAGAATTTACATTTAATAATGTCTAACAGTACCCAAAAAGAAAAAAGGAAAAAAAGTTGCAATTTCTATCTAAATGTCTCCAATGTTTCATGTGCTGAAGGTTTGAGTATTCACTTTAAGGTCCATTTGGTAGGAGGGAAGAGTGAGGGAAATGAAAGATTTCATTATTTGGATGGAAGGAAAGGAGAAAGGGAGGAGGGTTTATAAGGAAACCTGAGGGGAAAGGAAAAGAGGGGCAAGGATCTTTTTGTTTGAGTTTACCATATGCCTTACCCTCAAAAGTGGGTGGAAAGAGGAGGGAACCTATGATGCACGGACACGGACACGGACACGGAACACGACACGGACACGTAAATACGCAAATTTTCAAAAAATAGGGGACACGACACGTTGGGGACACGTTTAATATATATAATTTTATTTATTTATTTTATATCTAAAATTTTAAAAAATATTAATTCTTATAAAATTACAATAATAATAAAATTAATAAATATATTATCTAAATTTTTTTTAATAAAAATTATTTTTTTAAAATAAAAATAATTTATTTTATAAATTTGAATAAAAATATGGATATAAATAATAAAACAAAAGGAAAAAAAAGAGCGAATAAAAAGAAAAGGGTGGAGTGGAGAGAGACATGAAATCAAATGAAGGGAAGAGAAGAAAGAGAGAGACAGAAGGAGAGACGAAAGAAGATAGAAGATAGAAGATAGAAGACGGAAGACGAAGACAGAGGAAGAAGAAGACGATGTGAAGACGAAGACGAAGCGAAGACGAAGGCAGAAGAATAGAGAAGCAGAAGAGAGAAGAAGAACAGGTTAGGGCTTGTTCTCTCTGTCCTCGATCTGTCTCTCTCTTCCCTCGATCTATCTCCCTCTCTCTCCCCTCGATTTGTCTCTGGATCTGGCTCTCTCTCTTTTTCCTCTCCAACAGTTCTAGGGCTTCTTCGATCCACCTGCGTGTCTGAATCGTGTCCTTGCGTGCCCAACCTTGTGTCCGACTCTAAAAAATTCTGAAAAAAAAGGGACACGTAGGGGAGAGTGTCGGACACGTGTTCACAGCGTGTCGTACGCGTGTCCGTGTCTGACACTCATACGCAAGCCTTAGGGACGTGTCCGTGCTTCATAGGAGGGAACCATGCTCCCTTCTGGAAACATTTATTCACCAACTAGCCAATTTATATAATGCTGGATTCAGGTCTATGTTCCATCTTCTATTAGTACTACTAACAAACAATCATATCATATTTCGATCATCCTCGGAGCCATTAAGACGTCAGAACATAACAGGTTCCCATGAAATCAGTGCCAATCAATTAATACAAGCACCAAGCCTCCCAAATGAAAACAGTTCCACAATCTATAAGCAATATTCTCCAATATTTCCAAACAAATCATAATGTAACATTAATACACAATAGTATCAGAAACTTGTAGAATGCAAAGTTTTCTTCACTATATGGTGGTGACTTATATATTAGACATTTAAATAACGTCAAAGCCTATAATAAGAATAGTTTACAAAGCCTATCATGGATACCATTGGTAATAGAAATAACTAAAACACGTTTTCTTCCTTCTCCTCTTCACATAAGCACAATCCAAAGAAATAGACTAGCATTAAATTTTCTTTTTCAAAAACAAACTTCATTTCATGAATTCCAGCAAGTAAATATAAAGTAAGAAATTGGTTAGAAATGTAATGCAATAAATCAAAATTCCTGAGTTTCTTACTGCAGAATGCAATCAATCAAAAACAAAGTTCACCTCAAACTTGCATTATCTAAGACACATATAAAAAATCCACATTATCAAGCCGAACTTAAGATACAATAAACATTTTAGCAGGTTACAGGGGAGGAGATAATGGTGTTCAAGTAGATACATTAAAGTCAAGGACGATAATTATGGAACTATAACTGGCAGAGAAATGATTGGGTTAGTGTCAGAGAGATATATGGAAATGACAAAAGGCTTAACATCAAGAGGATTTGGGGTTTAGTAGAAACCATGATTCCCGATGGACTGCAAAGGAGAGTTGGGATTCGACTAAGACATAATTCATCACATTCTGATCCCTTATCCACAGTGAAGCAATAAAACATCCTCTTTAACAAAAAAATGAGGACTATAATTAGTTGCATTGGTCTCATTGTCTCAATGCCAGAAATAAATACAATTGATGAAAATTCAATAGTAGCATTAACCAAAGCCAACACAAGGAAAAATGAACTGAGAACGTCAAATGATATCAAAGAAAAACTGTGAGAGAGAGAGAGAGAGAGAGAGAGAGAATAATGGTCATCCACTTAATACTGACAATGGATATCAGAAGTAATGCTACTCTTTCTTGCGCATCACTGCATCAGTAGAAAAGTAAGTTTAAATACACATAATTAAATAACTAAAAAGGATAAAGAATGTACATATCAACACAATAAGGCTCACCGGAACAAATTAAACAATTTAACAACAAATTAAAAATTGAATTGAAAAATCATAGGACTCTCGGCGAGGAATATCAAATTCAACATCAATTCACTCCACTAAACCACCAAAAAATCATAGGAATCTTGAAATGCAAGCTAAAATCAACAAGTAAGAATTAGAAAATAAGAGCTAGAGAGAGAGAGAGAGAAGGTACCGTGATAACGTTCTTCGAAGAAGACTTCGGCTGAAGCGATCGCGATGAGAGAACCTGAATACATAATTGCTGAGGTTAGATTGAGCAATATAGCCTGTGTGAGCTGCTCAATTGCTTCCTCCAGTTTCCCTAATCAACCCAAAACCATCAAAATCAAATTATGAAAACATGTGTAAAGGAGTGAAGGAAACCATTTGCCCACTATATGAATGGCGGTGGCTGGGTTGATTTAGGGGTAGGTTTGCGTGAAGAAGGTATACGGATGAAAGAAGAAAAAAACCCTAGAGGCCGAAATTAGGGAAACAAAGATAGAGATATAGAGATACATATATATATATATATAGAGAGAGAGAGAGAGAGAGAGAGAGAGAGAGAAACCGAGATCATCTTTGAAGATTTGCTGAAGGGAATTGAGAATTATGAAGAATAGCTCAAGAATCTACTAATACAAGTGATAAATCCTCCTTGAGTTTGAGGGGGGCTGTTAGTGTATATTAGTGCTTGTAATGATGTTAGTAGTGTATAGCTGTTAGTAGTGTATATTTACTTTACTTTTACTTTACTTTATTAGAGCTACTTTCGGACACTTTAGGCTCCCACTTTTGACTCCTCTCCTCTATAAAGGAGCCAACTAAACATTTGTACTACACAACATATATACACAATTTATTCTCTTTCTCTTTCTCTATACATTAAATTTGCACCCACAACCCTCAAGAGCATCATAAATCAACTTCCCATAAGCATCTTCACCAATCTGACCCACAAAAAAAGTTGGGTATGAAAGTTTTCCACTACATACAGCCTGATTAACCCCTTTGCCACCAGCAAGTGTTTGGCCAATCTTGGCTGAGATTGTCTCTCCCTCTCTTCGGAGTCTATCGATCTCTACATAGATGTCTGCATTGAATTATGATTATGTATATCTTTGCATTACAATAGCATAGTTGCACACACAAGACAAACATACATAGTGAAGATTAAAAAATCAAAACCATGTTAAGTTACATGGATGGACTCAAAAAATGTTAAATTTATCATTGCCCAAAGCAACAAAGAGAGAGCCGATATCATCAAAGCAATTGAAATGCATTGACAGAACTTGGCGAGGATTAATGGCTTGTTATGGATTAACAATGCGTTCAACGAACTAGAGAAGGAAAACACAAGAGACACTACGAATGCATGGACGGAGAAGGACGCCCCTTGAATATAAGCGTTGGTATTGGGTTCCCGTCTATGTATTCACAAGGAAGGATGATAAAAATTGTGACAATTGTGAAGGAAGCTATGCGAATTGATTCCAAGACTCTGGTTCGGAGTGGTTGCACTTTGCTTGGCTCTAAACCATTTTGTAGAGTTGTAGCAACAACTTTTGACATGTCTTCAAAATTTCGTAGTTTATGTACTTGTTATTTCTATATGCCCAAGGCCCTATTTATAGGGAAACTTAAAGTCTAATAAGTAAACTTATTATTCAATAATTTTTATAAGAATTAATAGCATTTTTTATCAAATACTGTTAAAAAAGTCACTAATTATTAATTTTCAACGACAATTTAAAAATTTTGTAACAAAAAATGTCATTAATTATAAGTTTTAGCAACAGTTTAAAAAAATCGTCACTAATTTTCAACTTTCAACGACAGTTTAAAAAATTCATTACGAAAAATGTCACTAATTGTAAGTTTTAACGACAATTTATAAAAATTGTGACTAAAAAAAAGATCATTAATTGTCAATTTTTAACGACATGTGCAAAAAATTATCACAAAAAGTTATTTTTAGCGACGATTTTATCAATAGGACTTAAGGGAAATTAAATCCAACAATTATGATATATAGATAATTTATCCTATTTTTATATCATAGACAATTTGGGACCACTTTTTTGTTTTTTTGCTTTAAATTTTTTTTTAAAAAAGAAATGAAAGGTAAAAATATAGGGCTCATGTCAATCTCATATTCCAACAACTACTTTTGATATTATGTTTTTAAAAAGGCTGAGTTTGTCTCAAAGTTTGAATTTGCATTTGATTGTTATGTTCAGACAATTTCGATGATATGAACTATAATTAGGCGATATGGTAATTATAATCTTTTTCACTTTATAGTATTTGTCTTTAAAAAAAATAGATGACAAATGTAGTTTTGAATATAGACTTTTTATTTTTTTGAGACAAAATTAATAAAATGAAAATGTTAGAAGTCTCAGATTAATCGAATTTAATTATTATTATTTTTATAAATGATAAACACAAATGACTTTACAAAATAAATAATTTGAATCATTAAAATAAAATTCGTGATGGATTTCATGAACCAAACATAACAATTAAATTCAGCTTTAAATTTGAAATAAATTCACCGTTAAAAAAATTTCAAAATCCGTGAACTCATTTACTTCTATGTGCCGAACGAGTTATTTACATTAGAGACAATTTGACGAGAAATTTTTGTATGGTAATAAGGTACCACGTGGTATTACTTTTCACTAATTACAAATGTGTATATCTTTTATTATTCCCCAAACACTCAATATAAATATAGTGAATCCTCTTATCAAAACTAATCACAATAGTTATATGTACCCTATCTACATATTTTTGTTTTTTCTTTTGCTTTACGCCGAACGTGCTATTTATTTTTGTTGACATTATGGTCCACTTTTATTTTTTAATTTTTATTGATAAAAGTGAAATAATTACTTAATAAAGAAAAATAAGAGTACAAGCGTCAACGTTTAAACAATTCAAATTTTACTATATTTTAATTATCATCTGAGTTCATTTTTCAACGATTACTTTGTCTTTAAAATTTCATAATAGGTGAAATAGTTTATTTCTATGTACGGAACGAGTTATTTATATTGGACATCATTTTAACCATTTTTTAATTGATAGAAATAAAAAAAAAAGTTGAATTAATAAAGAAAATAAGAGTATAGGGCTGCCTATACTACTAAATTTTTATTATATTTTATTTATCATTTTATGTGTGTTATATAGCAAAGATAAATAATAGAATCTATTAAATCAATATAGTGTCGTGTTAAACATGCAGTAAACAAAGATTATCATACTATAATTATTGTTAAGTTTTTATTCTTGGCAATTTCATTTGACAAAACTCCATTCAGTTGTAATTTAATTCATTTTTTTTTATTTCAGTGAGGCTATGAATTTTAGGTGCGAATCCAACCCGAATTGTGTATTGTAGAGAAGTTTGTAATGTCTATTCTATTATGTTTGCCACTTTGCTGACTATCTCAGGGATCGAGCTACCTGATCAGCTTGCGGGGGTCCAAGGGGTAGCGTACCTTGGTGGGTTTGGGGCAGTGCCCAGGCAAGATCGAAGGGCAGCGTAGAAAAGTTTAGAGGAGTAGGAGCAAGGGCACTTTGTCCAGGAGAGCTTTTAGGATCATTAAGGTCTGGAAAGAGGGTAAGGGAATGAGACAAAGCATGTGTTAGAGGAGAGAGGTGTAAAAGAAAGGATTCGTTTAATATGCATGTATTTTGATTTTGTGTGTATATCATGTAATTTGCGAATCCTTTCTTTTATACCTCTATCCTCTAACACATGGTTCCGTCCGTCTCCTTACTCTTTTTCCAGACCTTAATGATCCCATAAGCTCTCCTGGACAGAGTATCCTTGCTCCTCCTCTCAACTTTCCTACGCTGTCAGTCGAGCAAATAATGGCAACTCAATCTGACATTGAAGCCAACCATTACACGCTGATGTCTTGTATGGAGACAGTGGCTACAGTCCCCAATTTGTCTCACCGACTGCAAAATAGGACAAGTGAGATACACCAATTAAACGCCCAACTTTCTCTGCTCCAACGCATGTACAATGATGCACAAGCAGATATTAACGCACTGAAGGTAGAGAATAAAGAGTTGAAACGACAGGCTACCTCCATGGTCTGATTCGGAGTTCCATCGTACTCTGCGTTGGATGGTCAGCGGGGAGTCAACCTAAGAAATTTAAATAACCTTCATGTCTAGCGCTTTCCTCTTTTACAAAATATATATATATATATAAAAGAAAAAAAAACAGAAAATGGTTTGTTTGTTAAATTGACAAAAGGTGGATCACACAAAGATCCCAAGTGAAAAAGCTAGTGAGCAATGAAAATAAAGGAAAATTTGAAAGAGCAACATTTTAAAGGCCCTCATAACCACCTCCTGCAAAACAAAATGACAATATTCAGATCATATTTTTTTGAAATAAAAAGGAAAAAGAATAAAAAAGGCAATGAATGTGAAGTATCTCTTGTGTGTGAAAGAGAGACCAAAATACTCATTTTTAAAAAATTTCCCTTTGCAATTAGGCACAGATAAAAAGCAAGGGATTTTAAAAGAAGTTTATCCTTCAACAATTACTTGGACAATTTGGTAAAGCTACTTTAATGCTTCGTTTATTGTTTTTTAATTTAAATTTTTTTTTTTTTTGAAGGATGACAACTTTGGTCAGACTATTCCTCTGGGTACATGCAATCCCCCTATCCCACATATACCAAGTAACCATCAGGCACAAGCCTTGGGTGTGGCCCCAGTGGGATCAGGATCAAGGGCCTCATGGGATTTGAACTCCTAACCTACACTTCCTAAGGCTCTTATCATGGCTCAACTTGTCACTTGGCTAACCCCTTGGGGTTTAATGCCTAGTATTTTGGGGGAAAACAAATAATTAAAAACCATGAGACAAGTTTCGATTCCTATATTTTAGCAAGCAATACGACAATCCCAAGAATGCATTTGTACTAAAATTATGTCATTGTCTCATGATCTCAAACATCCACTAAACATGTGGGTTTACATCAGTTTGAAAAAACAGTGTATCAAAATTTTATAATGACATAGTAGAATTATCGTAGTTCCAGTATCACTGACTATACAGCTGACACCACAAGATCAAACTAAAATCAAACAGAGAAGAGAAACGGGCTTTTGTTGTTTCCATGAAGAAATGGTTAATGGTAAGAAAAGGATCGCTGATTGTGATGTAGCGTGGGCGTCCCACTTACTTCGTTTCTCCCCCACCCTTGTGTGTGGTTTGGATTTCCTGTCCACTGTTTCATCAGTGCAATAATTTGAATCATCAATCAAGGATAGGAGCAGGTGTCTTTTTTTGTCTCCCCACAAAGGCACATTTTGCCTACACATCTATTTTAATGAGATATGTTCTAACAATGTCACTGAGTACCAAGCCTTGATCATTGGTCTACAAATAGCTACTGAACTGAAAAACACTAACCTTGAAGTCAGGAAAGACAACCTGGTTGCAAACTTTCAGTATGCAACTTGTCTAATTGAAAAAATGGCAGGAGTTGTTTTTGAACATGTATTGCGAATAAAGAACTGTATAGCAGATGCACTTGCCAATCTGGTAAGAACATTGGTGTTGTTAGAAAGGTCAAATAGTTGATGTCCCTATATGTCAACAATGGGTATTGCCACGACTGCTGAAATGCCGCCTTGTAGAAACAAATACAATTTCAGACCTAGCCATCGAAGCTAATGATTGAAGGATGCCAAATTGCCAAACATAAACTATATTGAACACGGGAAGCTTCCTGACTATCCTCATCACAGCATTGAAATACTCCTCGGCTCATTTACTATGAGGAAATTCTATTATATTGATCATTTGAAGGAGTCATTCTTCACTGACTGAGAGAGCAATTGAAGAGGCCCACTTTGGGATCTGTGAGGCTCCTCGGTTTGAAATAAGTTTTTAACTCATGTGGGCCAAGACCATCATATAGTTTAGACTCATGCGATTAGGAGCAATGGCTTCTTATGTGTAATAGCACTTCAAGAACTTCCCATTGATTGGACCAATCCTTACATCTTCTTTATCAACAATCTTGTAAGCTCCATTAGTGTAGATTTCCATCACCACATATGGGTCATCTCATTTTGATAGGAACTTGTTGCCAATTCAGTGGGTAATGATGATGGGTCTTTGAACAACAAACACCAATTCCCCAACTTTAAAAGATCAAGGTCTAACCTTTTTATTAAAAGTTGTAGAGAGTCAAGCTTCATAACACTAGTCCTTGTTGAGCTTCAAGTCTTTTCTCATCCAACGCTTTCAATTCAGCAAAATGTAATTTCACATTCTCGTCATTACTGAGACCTTGTATGACTATCCTTGGTGAAAGGATTTGTTGCTCCAGAGGACAGACAACTAAAACAACATAGATGAGGGAGCATGGAGTGACTTGTGTTGAGGTACGACAAGTTGTATGCTATCCCAAAGAGCTCTCTAATCCTTTCACGCTAGTCTCTCTTGGACTTATAGACTACCTTCTTCAATAGGTTGCCCAAGATTTTGTTGAATGTCTTTACAAAACCATTGGCCAGTGCATTGTAGATTAGGGAATTGCATTGCTTGATCCAAACCTTTCACAGAACTTGTGCGTTAAGTTATTGTAGAAGGGTTTCCCATTATCAATAATGATGTAGCGAGGCACACCATATCGATAGATTGTATTCGACTTACTGAAGTCGACAATAGTTTCCTTCTTCACTTCTTTGAGTGGGACAACTTCAACCCACTTGGAAAAGTCAGGTACTATTCCATAAGGAGTCACAATGGACATTTTTATCCATAATCATAAAAAAAAAAAAAAAAAGAAGGAAACAAAAACATCAAAAAAGTCCTATGGCTACCTAAGGCTAGAAGAATGTTCTCAAAATTCAAATACAATGATGTTCACCAGGGCTATCCTCTCAACTGGGGAATCCCAATCTACCTCTGTGCCTTCAAAGGTACAAAAAAAAAAATGCAACCCTTGTTAAAATTTTTTTAGAAATTTAAGCAAATTCAGCGGTTAAATAATTGAATCCAAGTATCCAACAATTGCCTCAACCTGCTAGAATTTTGTACTAATTGCTTTGTAGGCTATAAGGTTATGAAATATCCAAAGCTTACGACTACTTGGACTTCAATGAAATGGGTGCTGCTTCTGCATTTTCCTAGAATTTCATCCAGCGCCAAAATTTATTTTCCATAAAGCAATGTACCATCAAGCCTAGAGACTTAACAAAAAAAAATACATAAATAAAGCCTAGGTTTTCTATTCCCTTGAACCTCATACAAGACCTATGAGCTTCATGACTCTAACCATGTCTCAACAATGAGGCAAAGTTTACTACATCTCAAGCAAACTAAAATGTACCTGCTCCAAGTATAACTCCCACATAAAAAGATAAAAATGATTAGCCTAAGTATAACTCCAATTCTTTGTTATTCTCCCCTTCTTTTAACTGTCTTAATCAAGTTTCAATCATCAGCTTGTCTCCTTCAATAACACTAGTTCCTCAATTTCACCTTTGATTATAACTCCAGTAATTCACTTTGCATTTGTTTAGACCTACCCATTCATGTTGACCTTTACAACTTCCCATAAACTTATTTTATTTGTCAACTTACCTTGAGAAGCAAAAAGAACAAGAATCATAAAATTTTTTACTAGACAGACATGAATTTTTTCGCTCTCCTCTCCAAATCCACAATGTAAAGCAATTTATGTTCAAGCTTGAAGGGTTTTGTATATGACTCACTCCACGGAATTACAACACATCGGTGGCTAAACTCGAGGCCATAGGGTTTAGGGTTTAACGCAAGGCATTGGGGAACAATCAATATACCTTTGACATGAATATGAACTCCATTATTTATGAAAGTAGTGTAACGTTCTTGTTAATAGATTATATAAATGTCTACAAAAAGTTATGAAACCACAAGCTCAAAGAAAACAGTATTGTCAACAAAAAAAAAAAAGTAATCAATTCACATGCTGGAAAGAGGCTACTGCAGTTAGAAAGGACCTCATTCCCCAGCTGATCCCCCAACCCTTTTTCTCGCACAAAACTTAACACTAAATCCTCTTCAAATAATAAGATCATCTCATCTTTCAACAATCCAAATTTATCTTCAAGAACCATGATGACAGAGTTGAATCACAAAACCCACCCACAAAACCCACCACTCATATAGAAGACTAAAGATAAATCGTGGTGTTTTACAAGATCATTTAACATACCCAATATAATGACAGCACAAAGTTCCCCTAGGAAAAATAATATATCTAGCCTGTCTCACATATTTGCTACTTCTACGTCTCTTTCTATCCCTAGAAATAATCATTCAACTTAAGATTAACAACCCCCTACTCTGTTCATCTCATTAATAATGGATTTACGAAATATTTTTCAAAAGACATAACAAATTTTATTTCAACACAAACCCATAAGACCACATATTAGTGCATCTCCAACCCTTGATTCAAACATGTATCAAATTTAAATTTGGGTGAAAATCACTCAAAAACCTATCCACTCCTTGTCTCAAACTTATATCAAATTGCGTTCTACCCAAATCAAGGGAGATTCAAATTTTCAAGACTATTTTGTAGCTTTCAAATTTACAACTCTCGCATTACTGAAACTTTTACTTAAATCTAAAAGTTTGTCCATTGAAGGGTTTCATATACAAGAAAACTTTTACAAAGTGTGTAATTGTAATCCACATAAGGCAACAAAAAAATCATCAACCCAATACCCCTTTTTTTCAACCAATCCCACCAATGACTTCATATGCACATAAGAAAAAATAAAAATCAAAAGCCTAACCTTTGCAACTTGAATGTTGACAAAATCAGGGATTTCCCTCTGAAGCAAGACAATCCCAGCATTCCTCACAACCACCAAGTCCTCATCACACATAGCATCAGGCCAACAAGACATATTAGCACCACCAACAATAATAATAGAGTTTTGCCCATCAGATTGAAGCATCACCACAGCATGACCAGTGGGTGCACCAGACACATTCCTCAACCTATCAAGAACAACCGCACTGTTAGTGTAAAGCTGTTAGTAGTGTATATTTACTTTACTTTTATTTTACTTTATTGGTGCTACTTTCGGCCACTTTAGACTCCTTTCCTCTGTAAATGAGCCAACCGAACATTTGTAATACACAACATATATACACAATTTATTCTCTCTTTTTCTATACATTAAATTTACATGGTATTTACCTGGTATGGTGTATTTTTTTCGCACCGGCTGGCAGTCGACCGGCAACCTTGCCTTCGCTGCCGGCTAGAGTTTTTCTACACATACCTTCACTCCTCTTTCTCTTTCTCAAATCAGGAATGATCGCCGGAACCCAGCAAGAAACGAAGCTCCGTATCTGATCAGACGGCACAGAATACATCAATCATGGGTCCCTACGATGCATCCATGAGCAGCAGTGGTCGTAACTCATCATCATCATCCGCCGGCAAAGCACCGGATCAGGTTGACGGACTGCTTGCCGGATCCGGGTACAGGGTCCGGTCATCGGATCTCCGACACGTGGCCCAACGACTCGAACGCCTCGAGAATGTCATGGTCAACGCACCAGCAGAGGTCTCGCAGCTCGCAAACGACGTCGTTCACTACAACCCATCGGACCTCGGGTCCTGGGATGATTCGCTTCTCTCGGAGTTCAACCAACCCGTGGTCGTACCCGCCTCCGCCGATCTACCCGAGATCTACCAGAGTACGCCGATCTCAGTTACCTCGACGGCGTGTTAGAGGCATCACTTCTATGAAGCTTGTCCTTACTTGGAATTCGCTCACTTCACTGCTAATCAAGCGATATTAGAGGCTTGTCTTTCTCAACTACACTGTCTTCCAACTCCTCACTCAGCAATAATCCCCAAAACCCAGGCAGCATTGAATTGAAGAATGAAGAGGTTGATACTTAGGGGTCACTGGGGTGCTTCCCACTGGGAAGCAAAGTTCATACTACAAATAGATAGAAGCTCTCAGGGCTGGTTTGGAACAGGTTGGTTTTTTTTTTTTTTTAAGTAATTTTTAAAATTTTTAATTAATATATAATATATAAAAAAATTAGTATATTTAGGCAAAGTTTAGCATCCTCAAAAAAATTCAAAAAGTCAAAAAGTCACTATCACATTTAAGTCACTATCATATTTAAGTCACATCATCTTATTTAAGTCACATCACCTTTCTATCACATCATTTCAAACCAAACTCATACCCAACCCATATTTCATAAAAAGTCAAAAAGTGCACTTATTTAGGACACCCCAAACAAACCCTTATAATGATTTTTTTAATTTTTTATGAAAAGATATGTAAAAGGTAGAGAAAAAGGAAACTATTTGACTTTTTAATATAAGTTGTTACCTTTTTAATGTTTTTAATAATTTTTTAACTTTTTTATTAAAAAACTCGATATCACTAATAAAAATTAGAGGTGCAATTCAGACGGGTTCGGTCAGGTTGGGAGGTTGTCCAAGCTCAGCTCAAGTTGTGCTAAGATCTGCCCAGGCCCGCCCAAGCTCGAATTCTAACCCGAGATTGCCTACTCAAGCCCGACCCGAGTTAAACTCGAATTACACGAATTGTATTTTATTTTATTTTATTTTATTTTTTTACAGTTACATTATTAAATTATTAAAATTTGACTATATTTATATTTTTTTTAGAAAATCATTAATAATATCAAAACAAATAATTTATATAGTATAAGAGAGATGTCGCTATATTAGTCTTTACAATTTATGAATGAAAGTAAAATAAAAAAAAGGTAAGATTTTGTATATTTGTATATATAATATATATTCAATATGATTTAATAATCTAAATTACTTTAATATTATGTAATGACTAATAATTTATATATTTAATATTTTTGAATATCCATATATATAATTCAGGTTTCGGGTTACTCGAGTTATTTGACGTATTTGCCCAAGCCAACATAAATTTAATTCGGACTTTTAAATTTTTGTCAAAACTTATACCGAATTTAAAAATATCTTGTCCAAACCCTAAAAAAATTCAAGCGGGGTTCGGGTTACTTGGGTTGAGCTCGCCCAAGTTGCACCCCTAGTCAAAACATAAAAGAACTTACTATTCAACAACTGAAAAAGAAACTCAAGCAGTAAATCCACACTTTAATGATTCCTCAATAATATCATTGTTGTACAGGTTTTTTCTCCTATGAGTTGTGATTATATAAAATAATATAAGAAATTAAGTATAATTTCATATATAGAACTGGTATTAGGTATAGAATAATGCATGGAAAAATAAGAAAGGGAAAAAAAAAAAAGTAATTTAACAATAAAAAAAAATCCTAATACTCTTGAAAGAATTAAGAAGAAAAACATGAAATGCTAAATTAGTATTGGGTTTGTGGATTATCTCAATTTGGAATGAAAAATATATGAAAAATAAATATTTATCAAATAGAGTTCATATAAAATAAGTAAAGTTAGTATAATTAAAATTAGGTTTGGGTATGTGTAGAACTTTATATATAATTAAGAAAATACATTGCTGTCGTGACTCTCTTAAAAAAAAATAAACCCTTATAATGTGTCACTTAAGTATAGAAAAAATATTACTTTTAATATATATATATATATATGATGTTTTTTTGACATTTATTTTTGTCAAATTAGTTTATATTTTATCAAATTGACGATTTTACCCTTAAAAAATCTAATGATATTTTCAATTGTCCTTATTTAGAACAAAATTCAAAATTCATGGTCAAATGCGTTACAATTGAAAAGTCATGGGCCAAAGTGACACAAATCCCAAACTATAGGGACTATTAGTGTAATTAACCCTATTAAGTACTACAAAGTACAAACATCAAATAACAAAATCCTCAAAAAATCGGTTACATTTATGAAAAAATCATAAATCTTCTTATAGATATTCACTACAGGAATTCGCACTTTTGCCGACTAAAAATTTAGTCGGTAAAAGTCCATTTTTAGTCAGCAAAAGTTATCCGTGACTAATTTTTTTGGTCGCCAATTGAGGGTCGCGGAAAGTAATTACCGACTAAAAAAGTTTTTTAGTCGCGAAAAAGTTATATTTGCCGACTAAATTTTTGGTCGCTAAATATATAATTACTGCGACTAATCCATTTAGTCGCTAAAACACTTTAGTCGCGAAAAGTGACATATTCCCGACCAAACATGTTAGTCGCCAATTGTCACATTCCACGGCCAAACATGTTAGTCGTTAATTATCACATTCCATGACCAAACATGTTAGTTGCCAAAAGTCACAATCCACGACCAATAGATTAGTCGCCAAAAGTCACATTCCATGACCAAACATGTTAGTCGCCAAAAGTAATGCTTGCTCGACTAAAAGTTTAGTTGGCAATAGACCTATTCGCGACCAAACTCTTTGGTTGCCAAAATTAACAATTTTACTGACTAATTATTTAGTCGCCAAATGTACCCTTTTGCCTACCAACATTTTGGCCGGCAAAATCACAATTTGGTTGCCAACATCTAATAAAATAAACTTGTAATTGAAGACAAATATTCCATCAAATCCATTCAATATAATCTGTAATTAAAAAGAATCATTCATACCAACAAAGTATCTGAATCATGAACATTCAATGAAATACAAAAATTATCCAATCCTTAACCTGTTTAATAAAAGTCGGCAATTATTATAAATTTTCATCCACAAATAATTTCAAAGTACATATTTCTCCAATTAAAATTCTGATTCACATCCATCTAGCATAAAAATTTAAAACATAACAAGTATTTGTTATTATGTTTTAAATTTTTATCCATGTGCATCTATTCGAAAATATAATTACTAGTCTACCCAAATATTGTTCATACACATCTATCTAAAAATATATAATCCTTGAAAAAATGTAACAAGTGCCAACTAGTCCTGTACAATTCAACTTGTTACACGAGTTCATCCATCTGTATAGAAGAAAAAGATAAAAAAATGTCAGGTAATGTTTCTATGAAAATATTTGCACATCAAATGATTGTAAAATTGGACAAAAAAATAAAAAGTTCCATGGAAAGTAAAGGTAACATGAACAAGAAAGTAAAGGTAGAAATTTCATTTTTAGTTTGGTGTTACACCAGAACAAGGCAAAAAATGTCCAAGCAGACTTTAGTTAATAATAAATTAATAATCATGGCCACCCTGTCCTGTTTTAGGAAGTGACCATAATTAGGGTTTGTAATCTATTACTCTAGTATCACCTACAAGAATATAGTTGTTGCAGGGGAGGGGTGACACTAACATGGCATATGAGAGGGATTTGTGCAGTTGGGGGTTTGAATCTTATGTCTATCAAAAAAATTAACAAATATTTTTTCAAACATATGAACAAAGCAGACATATATTAAAAAAATTGTTCTTTTAAAGTAAATAAAGGATCATAGCAACTTTGAATTTAGACCGGCAGAACATGTAATAGATCATTAAGAAGGTATCTGACAGTGGACCATCAATTATCCCGAAGTATAAGTACAAACCAAAAAACAGCTTCAAGCCTTATCCTATGCGAACACTGATTTTAGAACCCATGTATTGAGGTTGTTACTAGCATTCCTATTAGTAATTTAGGTTTAAGGATATAGCGACCCCGGTCTTTTCCCATTTGATTATTGTATCCGGACTTAGGTTCCGTAGTTCCTGCCATTGTATTATGAGTGTTACCGTCCTTTAATTTCCTATTTCTGAGTTGGGGAATGCAATGGGCAGGTTTGTAGCTGGTTGGTTGAGCTTGGGAGCAAAGGGTTGCTGCCCAGAATTTTGACTCTTCGCTCGAGCGAGCAGTTCTTCGCTCGAGCGAGCTCTTTGTTTTGGTCCGTCGCTCGAGCCAGGGTTTCTTCGATCGAGCGAGGATTGCGTTTTGTAGTGGAAATTGAATGAAGATAGAAATTGAATAAAAAAAGAAGTTGAATAAAAATAGTAATGGAAACTGCATAAAATTAAACAG